CCTACAGTACAGTCACTGTACTGGGGCTCTGTAACTCCTCCTACAGTACAGTCACTGTACTGGGGTTTTCTTACTAACATTCTAGTCCAGAGGGAAGAACTCCACCTCACACTTACCTCTCACCCCAGTGCTGTCCAGGCCCAACCTTATTTACTCTCTAAACCTTTCAGAAGATGGTAGCAATGGTAACACTGTTGTCACTTATGCTTGACCGGGCATAAGTTTAATTTTAACCACACATTCTGTCCTTGTTGCTTTTCGACAACAGGAGAAGGTGAGCTGGATGCCCTATTTAGGCATGACGTGTATTTTTGCCTTCATCCTCAGCTTTGGAATGGGACCAGGTTTGTCTTTTGATTTTTTTGTTGTTGTTTGAATTGTGACTTAACTGTAAGTATCACTGTATTAAAATGTATTAGTTTAATATGTGAACTGTAAGTATGTGACAGTGAAAGCTTGGCCCAATACTAACTGGTTAACCTTCTTTCTTACCCCTGCAGCTGGAGTCACAGGGATCTTGCCCACGGAGATCTTTGAGCAAACAGCCCGTCCTGCAGCCTACATGATAGCAGGCTCTCTGATGTGGCTGAATCTGTTCCTCATGGGCCTGCTGTTCCCCTTCATTGTGGTAAGTAACTTGTAATGTAGAAGCCACTCTCTGGTCACCATAACTATTCACTGGTTACGTCTGTTCAGAACTAGTCTGGTCATTGTAGTCTGCTTATTTGAACACTAGTTGTCAGGCTTGGATTTACTTATTTGTAGTTTGGCCTGTAAACGATGCCTTTACTGTGATTGCAGTTTCTATTTTCTTAGAAATGTTTGGGCCACTCCTTATTTTGATTTCTTTTCAAATGACATGAGAAACAAGGAGATGCCATCACTGTGAAATGTGGGCTTCTCAGAGTTCTCTCTAATCGACCAGATGGGGGCGGTGTTGCACAGCACCTCTGGGATCTTTGGTTGTGACCATGTGTGCTGTCTGTCTTCCAGAGCGGGCTGGGCACCTTCTGCTTTGTTCCTTTCTGCTCAGTCTGCCTCCTTTCCGCTCTCTTCATTGCCCTGTTCCTGCCAGAGACCAAAGGCAAGTCTACCCTGGAGATCACAAAAGAGTTCAACAGGCGCAATTTCAAAGGAACGGAGCAGCAGCAGTATCAGCTGGGTGAAGTCCTCCGATCCACTTCACTCTAGTGCACCAGGAACACAGGAGTTAAACTGACTTCAACCCAGCTGATGTCAACCCTGACTCATCTTATAGACTCATCTTTGTCACTTCCAATCAATTGTCCAGTCTTTGCTCCAGTAAATGCCTGGGTTAATTAAACAATCAAGGATAAATTCGTTAATTTATTAGGAGGTTTAAGGTCCTGTAATGGCATAGAAAGGAAGTGCCAATAATGACTACCTCTATGATAGTGACTATTTATTAATGTACAACCTTAGTGTGCTACTTCTACAACACTTGCACTTGAATTTCAGGCCAATCGTAATCTGTTTAATGAATTTAATGTTGTAAAATGACAGCTTTTCAATTTCCTGTTGGTTATTCAGAAGGCGTATGACATGAGAATGAATGAGCTGTACAATGAAAACTACATTTTAACATCTTAAAACTCAGGCATAGATGTGCATGCTATATCTATATGTGTTTTGCTCAAGTCGATAATCTTTAAAAATGCACTGAATAAAATCCCTATCTGTGTTCAAATTCCGACCCATACAATGCTTTAGCTCATGTTGATGTTTTCATTTTACAATGCAATTTAAAAAATATATTAAAAAAAACAACCCTTATCTAAGCTGATTCCTGATGAAGAGTGATCAGCGCTGACGAAACCAGCTGCCAGGAAGACTAGTATGATGTTATTTAAGCCACTTGTAGAACACTTTTCCTGTCCAAGAAAGAAAAAGCCGGCTTCGATGTTGTGGGCCCTAATCTGCAACCACTATTTTAAAAAACGGTCACTAGAAACCTTCTTAATTGTAGAATGGTTTCTTCCTCCTCACAATAACTAGAAGAGGTTTCTCATGTTTCTATTAAAAAAATATAATTCTTAGTCTTTCCCACAACTTGTTACATCTATACCACTAAAGTGGTCAAAGTCAAAGTAAAGTACATGCACATTTATTTGATCTGTGCTCTTAAGTGCCTCCTCTATTTGCAGTGTTATTCACTTTGGCTGTGAAAATGGTCATAATCATGAATTTGCTTTGTAATAATCTATTGTGAACCTCTTCTGTGGAAAACAGTGCTTGTTTGTATGTTCTTACTGTGTTTGCATGGGTTTACCCTGGATGATCCAGTTTCCTCCCACAATCCAGAGATGTACTGGTAGGTTATTCGGCATTTGGGAAAATTGGCCCTGGTGTGTGTGTCTGTGTATGCCTTTCATCCCATCCAGTGGGTATCCTGCCTTGTGTTCGTTGCCTATCGGGATAAGCTGCTGCTTCCCAGTGACCCTAAATTGGAAGAAGCACTTAGAAAATGGATTGATGTATATTATTTCTACTGGATTAAAATCTCAGGCTCTATGGTTAAGAACAACATGCCTGACCTTATGACCCGAGCTAACTTTTTATTTGTGAGGTGTTAATAAAATAAAGTATCTGTTAAACTATCTGACGGTACAGTAATTACTAAAATGTCCAGGGTGCTACTCCTTGTGCCGGTATTACCAGACTAGTTAAAAGTTTAGAGGTAACATTATTTGCACCTACAGACTCAATGCATTTACTGTACAGAGCAATGTCAAATGCTTTAAAAATGGCTTTCAAGATTGTTGTTATTAGGAAAAAAATGAAAGTGAAATGTGATGCACGTTTCATGCAACATGTTCTGCATCGCAATATATCAAATGCAGTTTGTATGCTAGGGTTGCTTTTCTGTTCTGGTTAAACTTGGAATATATCCCGTACTAGTCAATATCCTTTTGTACTGTATTACTGACTCTGTTTTCTACCAAAGGTAAAAAGTAATTAAATGTATCCTGATTTGGATAGTCAAATCCTCCAATTGCATGATACAGTAATCAAAATCTTATTCCAATTAAACATTTTGCTTTTTGGAAAGTATAATTTTTTTAGAAATTTAATGTTAATTCTTCAGAAAATGTTTCTTTACTAAACAGTGCGTAATAACACCTTCTACTTTTTGCATGTATTGTATACAGTACTTTTAAAATAGCCTTGAACAAATGATGGAAATAATTTTTGCATTGCATTTTTCTTTTGTTTTACAAACCTAATGAAAAAATAGCACAGTATTTCAGATTTTTTTTTAATATGCTGAGTTTTTTTATTTATTCATCTTGGCAAAAATTGTTATTATAGCGCAGATAAAATTTAAAAACATCTATCTTTTCCAAAATAATAAACTAAATAAAGTAATGCTCATTTACTTGATATCCAAATTAATTTTCTGTCTTTATTTCAGTGTCTGAATCATTTATTGTGACTATGGGTATGATATGTTTTAAAACTTTATTTACATTTTATCTTTAATGGTTGAAAAATTGTTCTGTTCCCCAAAGAATCTTTAGCAATATCGCTTGTAAAATTAAATAATGCTGCTGTTTGTATTATACATTTTAATAAAACTGAATGGAATCAATGCTATATATATATATTGCTGCAAACACTGGTTTACTGTTGTCTCTTGGCTTCATTCTGGTCATTCCCAACCTTGAGCATGAAGCTCAACACCCTATGAATCAAATGAAAATAGTTTTCGGTATGACTGAATGCTTGGTTAGACCACTAGGAGACCAGTACTGTAGGACATACTGTATTACAGTAATTCAATTCCCCATATACTGTAGCTGTAAATAAACAGAGGTAGAGAGCAGATTCTACTGTGATAAACCACAGTGAAATCATACTTGATTAAAGTGAAACATTACACAAACTACAGTAAACATAAGCATGGTTATCACTCTATCATGGTGTAATCACAGTAAAGCCATAGGAATTTGCTGTGTTATGCAGACTATTACAATAGTATGCTTGATATAACATTTGGTGCTTGTACTCAGCTGAGGAACCCATGGTGCGATTGTGGGATTGTGACTGAACGCCTCTAAGTCAGAATCCGTCCTTGATAGATGATAGGTGATTGTATTAACAAAACTCCCTGCAATCTATTACACCATTGTGCATGTTATTTAATCTCCAAAGCCTTTTAAGGCTGTTGATTTGACAGCCTATGTTTACACATTAATGAGCAATTATCAATCATCAACCCTAAATTTACATTTTACGAAACATCGTTTCATCATCCAGACCCTTCCAAAATGCAGTCAATATGACCAGACTGTGATTATATGGTTAAGTGGATTAAATAGTGAGCAAAATATGGCAATAACTAATTTCCTAAATCTTCAAACATAAACAGAATCAAAAGTGAAAACATCGATGGTACCCCAATCTAGTTTGCCTGCCCCAGGAACTTGATGCTGAAAGTAGATCGAGTCACAGACAATAGCACAGATGTATCTATTCCATTCCATAAATCACAGGCAAGAGTCCAAGATATGTTTTTTCCGGACAGTATTCTTTCCTGTGATGGATTAAAATGAGTTCATGAATGACTGTTTTAATCCAGTTTAGTCATGTTCAATCCCGTTGTTTTCTGTGTCTGGTGTTAATGTTCTCTACCTAATAACAGGTCGAAATTAATTAAAAGGAAATAAAGTACACAGTTACTGTACCTAACAGACCATGAAGTCCAAATGGATAGAAAAGAGATACACAGTCCTCCCCTATGATTGGCGCACCTGCCCTTGATTTCACACTATAAAAATCTAACTCTTGTAGCGGTAAACAACAGTTACGCCTAACATCATTCCTGAGGAAAGAGAACAGGAGAAGAAAGACAATGACTACTGTTGTGACAGAGCTGGTAGGATTTAATTGTAATTGTAACAGCCTGTGTAAGATGGAATCAAGCTCTTGTATTTCACAGATGACAAGGATAATAGTCCCTGGTGCTCTGTTCAAACAGCACCAGTTGTAGCTCAGTATATATTGTAGTCTTTCTTTGAATGTGCACAATGTTTTCAGTGGCTATCTAATAATATATGTTCTAATTTTAATGAATCCAGGTCACTGGAGGAGTTTTAATTGTTGAATGTTTGGATTTTAAAACATTTTACTCTAGTGTCAAATGGAGTCAGGCAGCTCAATGCACCAATTAAAATTCTATTTAACATGTTAGAACCAAAACCTAGCATCTAGGCCAGTGGCAGCTGTTTTAATTAAGAGAACACTTCAAAACAGTGGACTTATCATTTGATGCTTGTTCATTTTTAATCTTAAATGGTCTGGCCTATTTATTTTTCGTTTTTCGCAGTCTAAGTATTGGAGACTTATGCTGTTGACACTGGTGCTGGGGATTGGGGGGTCATTTCAATATGGGATTCAAGTGTCTGTCATGACCTCACCCTCAGAGGTAAGCACCACAGACATCGTTTTTATCAATGGATTCACAACTCAACTTACCTTTTCTGGCATCAGAACTAACGCTATATATCTTCCTGTGCAAGTTTTTGTAGTGTTAGATACTATGCATGAGCTGTACATAATGATACACCAGACAATGAGAACTTGGTTCTGAAAGTTCCCAAGGCCATATTTATAAGAGTAGGGCTGTTAATCCCATTATCATTCCACAGGATCCCAAAGCACTTACAGAGAGTAGGTAGCTCATTACATGCACTAATGAAGATTATTCATGAGTGGAAAATGCTGTGTAAATGCAGTAATTGATCGATGGATGGATTGATTGAATTCAGAATCAGAGCATCTTAAACCATAAAATAATGTTCCTCTTAGCTACAGCAAACTTGAAGAAGCAGTTGCATGGTCAGGACTATTGAATCATCTGTATTGAAGCTCACTTGCTGTCACGGACGTCCAAAGGGACTAACTGTGGGGAGCAGGAGAGCGGAAAAAGACCCATATGCGTAGCGGCGAGACGGGAAAAAGACCCGGGCTCATTAGTGCAAAGAGTTCAGGAATGCCGTATAGAAACCTATGCCCTCAGGGAGCGGACGTGGGGCGCCCTGGTGCTAGGCGGGTCTCAGGACATCCGAACGTCAATGCTGAGCCAGGACAGAGTGCAAGACCCGGAAATATATAGCCCAAGGGAAAGAGAGGGACAGGAAGGACAGCAGACTGGAAACTAGGGACAGGACAGAGAAGGAGCGGCCTCTGGCTGCAGAGGGTGTGACACTTGCCTTCCGATCCCTGTTTGAAGACAATTCAGAACTTTGTGAACCAGACATGGAAGGACCGCTATGGAGAACCAGCAGATGAGTCCACAGTGAAGCTTATCTGGTCCTTCATCATGTCCATCTTCAGCCTCGGGGGGTGGCTGGGAGCCATCAACAGTGGTAAAATCCCAGTCATCTATGGCAGGTATGCTCAGGAATGACTTCCCAGGTCCGCGATGATGTGCTATTCATCAGTTCCTTGTTTTCATTGTTGAAGGAAATGTGCCAATTAAAACTAATTTGAAAAGGACAGCTTACTGTCCCCCATTTATAATGCCCTCTGGGTACATATTTTAGACAAGATATCACTTTTGAGGAGTTTTTCGCTTGTTCAGTCTGAGGAAGATCGAAAAAAAGATTAGATTCTATTAAAACACGTATCCACATTTAGCAGTTCTGCTGTTTTGAAATATTGTAAACACATGAAGAATGGTTTACACGGAAAACATGTTCTCCTCAGATTTTCCCTTAAGTATTCCTGGAATTTGCTGAATGTATTGAAGTGCATACCATCTTTAATGAAGAAAAACAATCCCTACATACTATACTGTAGATTTAATAATCAAGGTATTTAATACTGAAGAAGTTTAACATACTGTACAGCCCCTGGCACACAGCTGATGGGGAATAGAGGAGCCCTGGGATTTATACCCTTTGTCATTTTCATATACAGTACAATTCCAGAGCTGGATTAACATTCTAATTATTTGGAATTTGATTATGTGAGTTAATTAAAAAAAAAGTTTCAGTTGAAATACAGCATAGTAGTAAATATTCAAATTATTTTGAATTTGAATTATTGCATTTATCTTAAACTTTTTTTTTCTATATAATCAAGACTTGGACACATTACATGACCTTGTGTTTGTTTTCATTGTCCCAGAAAAAAATGTTTGCTGTTCAATAATGTTGTAGCGATTGTGGCGGCAGTGCTGATGGAATTCAGCAGAATGGCTCAGTCCTTTGAGATGATATTACTGGGAAGATTTCTGTATGGATATAATACAGGTGTGTATCGAGATATGGCCATTTTTGACAGCCTTCAGTTTCCTTTCCTTAACTCAAGATGGCTTCGCTGTTGATTCATTTTCTCTTTGCGCTGTGTCTTTGTACAGGAACATCTTTTGAATTTAGCCTTGTGCTACAAAACAGATATGTTCCTCTCTGGCAGTCAGGGGGTAATAGTTACCCCACAAATCATATTTATTTACACAATGGAGAACAAACATCACAGAAAAAAACTGAATTGCTGTTCTGAAACCTATATTTAAATATTTTCAAATATGACACTGTAAGAAACACAAATCCAGCCCAGAATATTCCTCCCTTATACCTTTTTAGTATTTAACAATGACTAGTTCTACCTAAGGCTGTTTACAGTACATTTTTAAGTGCTTTCAGCTGTTTTACTCAGATCAAATAATCTGCTTGGCAAGTCATTTGTTTAACAAATTATCCTGCGTGTTGTTGTCTTTTAACTGCAGGTCTTGGTCTTAGCGTCCATCTCATGTACTTGGGTGAGAGCTCGCCGAAGAAACTGCGTGGATTTCTCACACTAACCTCATCGATCTTCATTGGTTTGGGGAAAGTTTTGGGTCAAATTGTTGGGCTCAGGTAACCCTCCTTCAATCCAGTCTTCCTTTGGGTCCACAGGTAGTGAAGCCAGCACTCTGGGTTAGCTTTGCCTCCTGTGGCTTGCGCTGGCCATGATCTAGTCAAGACCAGTATTCTATTAATATCAAAGCTGTCTTCAAATTAAAACGTTTCAGACCTGTCATCTCTCTTCAAGAGCAATAAAATCCATTACTTATTAAAGACAAATGATGTCTGGTGTTAGCTAACAGAATATAAAGAATGTTGCTCTTAGTCTAGATCTCCTGAAGCCAGGCTCTACCAATCTACCAAAGTCCAACACGTGCAAATATATCTTTGATTGCTTCTTAGTTATCAGAGGGGAAGGCAACGTTGTCGTGTTTCTCATGACTGCCTTCCAATTCCAGTCAAAACCAGCTAGCCTCCTGCAGCTCTGTCACAAGGCCATAGGAATGACTCAGATTGGCCCTAGATATTTCTCTGCTCACAAGATCATCGACTTTTTTCAATGAATACTGTACATTACTTACATGCAAAATGAAAGACATTATCTATTGACCGGCAATGTTGTAGAGCAAAACCGAGCTGGATATTTCCATGACTCTTCTCCTGCAGTGCATCATAAACTCTAATTCGTATTAAGCCTAGAGTGGGAATAAAACATCCAGAAGAAACACAAGACAGTGTCAAAACAGGACAGAACACTGTAGACTCTACAACGGGAATGTAAAAGAGCTAAAGGCAGCATTCAGTTCACTTAACTGCTTAATTAACTTTCACTTGTTCTATGCACTATGTTCATTTTTGTTATGTAGGTATAACTGATAGTTCTGATAAATTCACATCTTTTAAAAACAAGCAATATAAACACCTAATAGGTGGGGAAATGTAGAGCTGCAATAATCCTGTTTTCATTACAGTTTTTTATGCCCTTATGTGTGCAACATTTGTTTCCATCAGAGAACTGATGGGTACAGATACCCTGTGGCCATATCTGCTGGCACTGAGCGGCATTCCTGCCCTGGTGCAGTTTCTTGGCCTGCTCTGTTTCCCAGAATCCCCACGCTACCTGTACCTGGACAAGGGTGATGAGGAGGGCTGCAAAAAAGGTAGACTTGGTATACGGATCATCAAAACGCATGCGTGCTTGTAAAGCTGCTAGAGAGAAAATCTGAGCTCTCAGCGCTTATGATGTGTAAGCCGCAAAAGCCCATAGCAGCTTTAATGTTCTTTGGGGAAATAAAACATCTGTTGTACTGTAGCAAACCCATTACTGTAATACAGGGCATTACAATCTGAAGAACCAACAATGTTTTGTGACTTTGAAAGCGCAAGTTACATTTTTCCCAAACAAAACTGAAATCACTAAAGCCACTGCATAGTATTTTATGAAAGTTATATCAGGGTAATACTTAGAGGTAGAACAATTAAGCCAGGTAAAGACAATTTTCTATGTCTTAGGCTAATATTGATATATTTCCTGCTGTTTTGTCAGAATGAGATTGGAAGATGAAGTTGCAATGTGCAGTAAATTGTTTTTATTTTCTTTCAGGAAGTCTAGACAATTGTTTTTGATTTTTCTGACCTTAGTAGATTGATTTTTCATCTTTGAAAAAGCAAGGTAAAAATGGAGATGATGGAAAAGGCGTGTAGTAAAATACCGCCTCGTGTGCTCTTGACACAGCTTTGGAGGAGCTGTGGGGTGGCGAAGACATCAAGCTGGAACTGGAGGACATGGCCAGGGAACGGGAGGCGATGGCAGGCGAGAAGGCCAAGACGGTGTGGGACGTCCTGCGGTCTCGGGCAGTGCGCTGGCAGTTGCTGACTTTGATTTTCCCCTGTGCCTGCATTCAGTTCTGTGGAATCAATGCGGTGAGTGACAGCCAGGCTTCTGCATCAGACTATCCTCCAGAGGTCTGAAAACGTAACTGAGGCCAAAATCATCCCTTTCTCAAGTGTTCATACTGCAATGGCTTTTCTTTACTTTTCAAAAGCCCTGTGAGGAGGATGGTAATTAGCACCCCCATCTTGTAAATTGACAAGTTAACTAGGATAAATAAAAAGGCATGGTGGAGTTGAAAAGAAATCAGGTCTTCTGGGCTCCTGCTAAACAGATAAAAGCTTTAATCAGTAGCCTCAATGCCATTTTGAGGTCACTTTAAATCACCTCATGGCACCTAAAGGACTGGGAAGGGCTAGAAAAATGCCCCAGATAATCTAGTTGAAAGTTCAAATCTTTGAGAGCGGAGCTGGTTTGAAACCAGAACTTGGCCCCAGCTGAGTTGCAGAACAGTGAAGCAGCTGGACTTATATTGTTTTGCAGATTTACTTCTATGCATTCGACATCTTTCGGGAAGCTGGGGTTCCGGAAAACAAGATGCGCTACCTTTCCATCGGCATCGGCACAACAGAACTGGTCACCATATCACTGTGTGTAAGCAGCTGCCTCACTTTAAAGAACCGATCAGTGGTCGGCTTGTCAGTACAGCACTCTGGGGGAAAGATAGTCCGTCGGTACAGTATATCTGGAATTTAACTAAATAAGGAGAGAGAAGGGACTTCTTGTGGACTAAGCAGAATACATTTAGATTTTGAATTGTGTTAACTTTTCTATTCTCTGCCCACAGTCATTTCTGATAGATCGTGCTGGCAGGAAGAAGCTGATGGGGCTTGGCTACCTCTTCATGGGATTGATCCTGATCGTTCTCACTGTGATGCTGTCTGTGAAGGTAATGGGAATGGTAACTGAAATAAATGGTGAATTTTGTGCACTCTCCTTTCAGCATTAAGAAAAAAATGGGGGGGATTTCCTTGAGAATATAATAATCATTTCAAAACATTAACTTTAGAAGGCTTTAGAAGAGGCAAAGGGTGTCTTAGAAAAGTCAAGCAGCTTAATTTGATTATACTTTCTTTACAGGACAAGTACTACTGGGTTCCGTACTTCAACATAACCCTTCTGTTCTCTGTTATCTGTATCTATGGATTGGGACCATGTGAGTATCAAATTATATGAGCTCTATCACAATAAAAAACTGTGATACTTGTACATTTCGCTCTATACTGTACCTAGGAAAAAGTTGTTTGTTTTCATGTGTTTTGTATATAATAGTATAATATTATATACTAACTAAATACTACTTTCATTGGGTGAGTATTAATGTTCTATGGTTGAAAATAATAGAGATGGAGTGTAGGTAGAACTCTTCTTTAACATTCCTGTAACTTTGGCCTGCACTTGTATATATCAAGATACTGGACTGCGCTGTTCTGTGTTAGCCTGTAAAACAGCTTCTGAAACCAAATTCCTTATTTTTTTCTCCTCCTTCCCTGCAGCCGGAGTGTCGATGGTGCTTCCTGCTGATTTATTCCTGCAGGCCTGGAGGCCATCTGCATATGCCATTAGCGGGACAGTTAACTGGCTTGGTCTGTTCTTTCTTGGGATGTTTTTTCCTTACATAGTGGTAAGAAAATGTATTTTTCCCTTTGTTTCACTGTGTCTTCCAGTCAAAGAACCTTGTCTTTCTTAAAACACCAAGTTTGCCTCCCTGCCATTTAGCCCTTCCAACACTGTTGACAAACAGGCAGCTGCTGGTTCTGTTCGTTGACTTGTTTGGCACGGCTCTCACAAGTCCCCAGGAGAAAACAGAATTTTAACATAATATTTTCTCTGTCCGCAGGAAGGCCTTGGCCCGTACTGCTTCCTCATCTTTGTGGTCTACTGCATTCTTAGTGCAATATTCCTGCTGTGGTTCATTCCCGAAACCAAGGGGAAGACTATGGTTGAGATTATGGAAGACTTCGACAAGCTTAACTTCAAGGATAGGAGAATGCCCATCAACAAGGAGGATTTTACCCTTGCCACAAAACTCTGAGAACATCTGCAATATCATTTATTTTTGCACTTTTAGTTAAATTAAAAAATTCAGGAGTATGTTAAATGGGGAATATGTCCACTTGACAGAGTGTATGGGTAGGAAGTACTGTGACTTGTTAGTGCTTTCACCAGAAGCTGATATTTGATAATGGAGTCTAGAAAAGATTATTGTTAATTTATGTGGCGAAAATATTTGTCCAAAGCCATTTAGAGCTGTGCCCATTTATGCAGCTGGGCATTGTGGGAAGGCTCGTAACCTTCCAGTTGTGAGTTCAGAGCCCTCAGTGGTCTGCTGCCAGAGAGCTGGCATGGTCATATTGCTTAGCTTTATTTCAGAATCAGGTATTTCCTATATTTCAGCACATGCTCCTCAGCTGAATCTCAAAGGTATCCATTGAGGAGGTGTATCATGAAATTTCAGGTGTTTTCCATGTTGTTGATATATATGCTATTAAGATCCAATAGCACCTGTTCTTAAACAATAGTAAAAAGAGTAGTAAAAAGTGAATCTTGTGTTATCTGTATGTCTTATTTTAAACACTATGCTGTTTATTTTGAAACAACATTCTGTGCCTGAACATAACTTGTTTGATTTATTTTTAAATTTAGTTCAATATGTTCAATATGTGGGTTTGCTAAAGGGCACGATCATGGTAGGAATCTCTCTTCTTTCCAGAGTCCATAGTCACAATGTCGTCCTGTGTGGATTTTCATATTTCTTTAGCAACTCATGTTTAGGCAATTTGTCTTCAGAAAAAATCATTTGCCGCATGAAATAAAAAGAAATGTCTGAGGTTAAAAAAACAGTCAGGCACTATTTCCTTTTTCTTTTTGGGGTTTCCATGCATGGTAAATGAGACCATTAAAGGCTTAGGAACTATGACTTGATTCACTTTTGAAAAAACACAGAAGGAAGTATAAATAAACGAATCCTGGCTTTATGACCAGGGATGTATCTGCTCACACTTTTATGGACTAATTGGAGAGGAGCGATATCTTGTTACATGGTGACCACAACTGTGCACAATATTCTATATGAGGTTTTACTAGTGCAAATCAACATACAGTAATTCTAAGCAGGTTCTGTACATCTAGATTATCCCGCTGTGGCCTTGCCATCCACTGTCATGTTAAACACTACAATGAAATCACACTCGCTAATATTCATCAGGTCTGACTATACGAGAGATTGATTCATCACTAAAGAGGGCATCACAGAGGTGACTTATTTTCTTACATATTCTTTCTTGATTTCTTCCAGGCTTGTCAGTACACAGGTTCTATCACCTCACAGGCGCCAATCAACTATTTCACTAATGAGTTCATTTAGTGCCCCTGCCATAGTATGACTGATCAATTATTCAAAATAATGACAAAAACATTTCGATCAACACTGTCGTCAATCATTTTCCAAAATCTGCATACTTTTTCCTAAAACATACAAGCATCCTTAGAACGCCAAGTTCTATATGATGCTCGGCTAATGAAATATGATCCTTTTTATTTGGATTTCCTTTCTACAGTTCTTTGAGATGTTTTTCATGAAGGCACCATAAAAATCAAGATTATTATTAGTAGTATAATTTGACTTCTCATGTTCACTTTTCACATGGCAGCCCTCCTGTTCTGAATTTCAGTTGTTCATTAATTTCAGCTGTTAATTAATGTCTAGCCTTACTTGACTTACTGTAGGAAAGGTTACAAACTGGAGGAGGCTATTCTGCTCCTCTAGTCTGTAAAGCTCCAGGACACTGCCCTGCCAATGGTTTATAAGAAACAATTCTGAATTGATTCAGATTGATGAATTATGACCCATGTTTTTAATAACTGCCTTCAGGAGAAGCATTGGCTTCCTTTTTAAAACATTTGGTGTTTGGATTGCTTTGAATTTTTTCAAACCTATGGCAATAGAGAGCTTTGTCCTCAGACATCACAATATCTGTATGATCAAAACAATGAATACAAATAGTCCAAAGGTCATGGCCCCCCTCAGAACTGAAGGCTAGCTAGCATCTGTGGTAGACACTGACTTCATCTCACGCACCAGCACTGCTGTCTGCCCTGTAAGGACACTGAACAGAGCCACGGTTAATAGGATTTCACACTAGTGATCTCCATAGGTGATTAGGCAGACAGTGTGAGAAGTTAATTGTGCTAAAATTTAACTTGAACCGTGCCATGCTGAGTCACTTGTCCTCTTACCTAACTCCACGAGAAAGCTGAACGACTACCGCACTGGACAATAACGAGCAGTCGCCCAGGAGGAAAATGGCAAATGCACTGAGAGACTTGGTATGCTTAGCTGCGATTTCGTTTTAGAAAATATTGTCTTGATTTTCACAGGTTTAAGACAAGGAGAACCGTCTGGCAAATGCAGGGCTTCATTCTATAAATGAATTGAATATAGTGTACCGTGGTTAGGCACGATTTACCGTAGTTCGATTGCTGGAGTGAATGCTGGCACTACTTGATGACTTGTTTATTCTTCTCTGATGGAAAATATACCTCAGATATGTTTTTTTTATATAGTTGGATGATATTTTCATAATGTAATTCTGTATCTGCTAATTTACTACAATTATTTTTGAAATGTGTAAATTATATCCATATGTGTATATTGTAGTATGTGTTATATACATATGTACAGATCTATGTATAGTAATATAATGCAATAAAATACTGGTAATATATTGGTAATATACTGAAATATACTTGTTTATAGCATATTTGCCCTTATACTGTTAAAGCTATAAGTGTATTAATAGTGTTTCCAACATGTTACAAACATTTTCTGTATTTCACTGCAGTGGGAAAGCCCAAAACTCATTGCAGCTACTTTGGTTTTTGGAATTGGTGGGAATTTTCAATATGGCTTTCAAATATCTGTTCTCAATGCTCCGTCTTTGGTGAGTACCACGATAATTACAGCAGCTCCGTTCTTTACTGAAAGGTGTACAATGCATTTTGATCTCTGAGGAAATAGATTTGGTGTCGTTTCAAAGTTTTGAGCCAAGTAACCAATAATACCAGGAATAATTTTGATAAGAGCATGTGCATCTGAATATTAAGTATTCAAATTAATCATATGGAAGCCAACTAACTAAACAGCCTTTCGATACAGTACATCAAACAGTTTATAAATGAGACATGCCAGAGACGATATGGTGTCCCACTGGAAACATGGAAGCTGACTTTGATCTGGTCCTTCACGGTATCTATCTTCTGTATCGGAGGCCTGGTGGGGTCGCTCTGCGCTGGAAACCTCTCGGTCAAATATGGAAGGTATGAAGGAGTGTGTGATTTCTTTCTCAACAGCTCAGGATATACTGTACCTGTACACATATACACATGTTCATTATGTGTACATGATGGAGGTCTGAAATGAAACCATTAAAGCTTTTTCTAGCTACAATGCCATTCTGTTATAACTTTAATTATACTGTGAGGATTTGAATGTGAAATGAATGACCTCTCATTTTATTTGCTGTATGCTGCATACTAATGTAGCCCTTAGTGAAGAACTGAAACACCATTCATTCACAGGCACATCCCTCCTAAATACAGCTCATGCAGAATTTCTGTAGTAACACTGTCCTACGTGATTACTGTTTATAGCAAGTTGGTTTCAATGTGGTTTCCCTTTTACAGAAAGAAGTGCCTTCTGCTGAACAATTTTGTGGCCATTGCTGCCGCTGTGTTGATGTTAGTGAGCAGAACTGCAGAAACTTTTGAGATGATCATGGTGGGCCGGTTCCTGTATGGGATCAATGCAGGTATCACATCAGACAGCCTCAGGCTGTGTAAATTCAAACAGGCTTGTTCCGTGTGATGCAGGGAGTTCTATGTAAAAAGAAAAAATGCCCCATGGCACAGACTGGAAACAGGAACATTAATCATCAAGGACCTTCAACTTGCTAATTAAGAACTTGCTCCCTTATTCCTGACTGAGCAGCTCTCAATTGTTCAATTGCGGATGAACAGACACAAATGGGAATGGCATTGGATTACTCTGCTGCCTCACTACCTGTATTACATCACCAACAGGTCCCTGTTTTCCACTCTGCAGGGGTCAGCTTGAATATCCACTCCATGTATATGGTTGAGTGTGCCCCCAAAAAACTCCGTGGGCTTGTTGGGGTCTCCGTGGCCACCTTTGTGTCCATCGGGAAATTTTGGGGTCAGCTGGTTGGGCTGAAGTAAGTTTGCAACTCCGCCACTGTTATTTATGACAGAGGACATTTTTTTCAATTCTTTTTTTTGTTTCCGCGGTATCGTAGTAGTACAGGATGAAGAAAAGTAACAAACTCATGGTGACGTTTTTAACTTTGCCTCCGCCCGACAGCCACATCTCTTGGTCACTGCTCTGTGTCTGCCTTCCTCTCAGGGAGGTCCTGGGCACGGAGGAGCTCTGGCCTGTGCTGCTGGCCTTCAGCGGCTTGACGGCTCTGCTCCAGCTGGTCACGCTGCCCTTCTTCCCAGAGTCCCCTCGCTACCTGCTCATCGACAGGGGAGACCGGGCGAAGTGCGAGGAAGGTAATCATGCTGGTCCCCCCCACTGCCTGCAAGGCTGAGCTGGTAAAAACTTTTGGGTTGCATACCTCGGAGGTTCAAGGTGACACAGCCTGCTGGGGTCCCTCCATTGTTTGAATTGCATTGATCATAATGCAATAAACCATCTATCCATTTTCTAAACACTTCTCCCAAATTCAGTATTGTGGTGGAGCTGGAACCTATCCCAGCAAGCAATGGGTGCTGCACTAATCACTGCTTCTCCACACCACCCATAATGCAGTAAATAAACATGTATCAGGGGCTTTCTTTCCCCAGGCAGGTACTGTAGCTTTGAGTTGGCCTTTCCAGATTTGTGGCTTAGTAATACAGTAAATGCATCAAAACATCAGTCTTTCTGTCCATCTATACAATTAATATACTGTATAGTTATCTGGTGCACTCCTTGCAATTAGTAATTATGCATGGATATTGACTTCATTTAAATCATTCTGTGTGTGCATTCTAGCCTGTAACAGCAAAGGACAGGGACCACTCCCCCTTGTCTTGAGATAACAAGTTTGGCACCACTCTAAATCCAGAGCTCCAGCACAGCCATGTTAAAACGCGTTCCATCTGCACGTGTATGTCTGCATTGCCAAAGCCGGTTCATTTTATTTTTTTCCCCCCCAAGCCATACAAAACCTGTGGGGAAAGGGGGACTACGCCTCAGAAATTGCGGACATGATGGCGGAGCACGCGGCTATCCGAGGGGTGAAATCTAGGAGCCCCGTGGAGCTGATCTGCGAGAAGACGTTGCGCTGGCAGCTGCTGACCACCATTGTCACCTTTGTCACGTTACAGCTGTGTGGGATCAACGCAGTGAGTAGAGGCCCAGCTAAATGTCAGCAGTTTGCAACCTAGTTGAGTGGCTGGTCTTAATACCAATACCACTTCTTTGCTGTTTCCTGTAAGCGGTTTCAACTTAGCTCTCTACTCAGGTGGTCCTCTTTTTTCTGCTTATACATGCAGTATGTATTAACCTGTAATAATATATTTCTGCATTGCCCATTTTAGAAATAATGTTAAATCTAAACTTTCTTTGACACTGTATTTTAAAATGAATGATCAATTTGAGCATATGGCCTTGACTGATGCGTGTTTTTTTGGAAGACGCACATAAGCCAAGCTAATGGGAAATGCATTTACAGCTGAGAAAAAGAGACACACCTTTACGCCAAGAGTGGAATGGGTTGGGGGGCGTCTGGAAAAAGTTATCCAGACATGCTGTTGAACCTGATACAGTGGCATCTTTCAGAAAATGTGTGGATGTGATTCTTTGATTTCTAGCCATTAGAAACCAGCTAACTGGTCTCTTGTTCATCACCTTTTTTACAGTTTAAAGTTTTCTTGATCTTTTTCACAGTGCTATATGCATTGCTCCATGACACAGGGCTTTTTGAAAGTCTGTAATTCCAAAAACAAAGGACAGAAAATAATGAAAGCAATCATCAAAACTGGTTATAAAAATTAATAGGTAGTTCTAGATATTTAATGGAGTTTGTAATGAAGGTTTGGGAGGGATGACAACAACCGAGTTCAGTCAGACTCAGCAGTCCATAATTAGCAATCAAATCACTCATGACGTTATTTTCTCTCCTGAAACACTATAAATACTGTAAGTGATCCCCTTCTCTCCCTCACATACGTCTTTTCCATCCCACCTCCACCCCATCTCCACCTCTGCAGCTGCCCCTTGGTCACTCCTCACTCTGCAGGGGCGTCCCAGCCTGCTCGTCCAGTAGCCAGGAGGTTGGCCCTCAGCCAAGCAGGTTAAACCAGATTTTACCTAAATACTACATAATCCTTTCAGTACACTTAATTCTTGGGTGTTGTAAAAAAGACTGAACTGAATCACTTCAGCTTTATTCCCAAATATCCAACATCCTTCCCCAGCGTATCTGCGTGTTGAAGCAAGGCCAAACTGGTACTGAGCATTGATTTTAAGATTATTTGTCAAATCCTGATGAAGTTTATAATAAACTCCTTTCTTTACCTGGCAGGTCTACTTTTACTCATTCGACGTGTTTCACGCTGCAGGTATTCCAGATAAACTGATATGTTATGTGGCTCTGGGAGTTGGCTTGTGTGAGATAACCACCTCCCTGACCTGTGTAAGTATATCTGCCTCTGCTGACTGGAAAGCCTGATTTTACCATTCAGGTTGAATATTTAATTCCCAAAGGTAAAAAGCCCAAGACCATGTAGTACGCAAAACAATGTTCCCAAAAATCACATAATAAATTTTTATTAGAAGACCAAATGCACTAATCCTGTCATTTATGTGTCACTGACATAGGGAATGATCATTGAAAGCACAGGGAAGAGACTCCTGCTGTTCAGAGGCTATCTGTGCATGGCAGCAGCACTGGCCCTGCTGACAGTCACCCTCGTTCTGCAGGTAAAGGGATCTGTCTTAACCTGGCTCAGGTTAGGTCACGTGGTTTTGAGAATGCCTCCTGACTCCTTATCTTCTCGTCCTCGTTTGACAACTCATGGTGCCGGAGGCAAAAGGTATATAGATAAGAGTAGGTATAAGAATGGGGAAGAGTCCTCATCTGTTTGACATGGACAGCTTTTAAACTACTCCAAGCATGAAATGGAGCAGGAACTGTGCAGAGGCTCCAGTAGAAGATATGCATACCATGGAAGAACAGTCGGAAAACAAAAATGTCTTCATGATTATGAGTTTAGGAGAGTTAGTTCTTCTTGGTTTATTCCATAGTTCTGCCCCTTTGTGTTACCCCATACTGTACATGACAACGCTTTGCAAAGAAAAGGAAGTATGGTGAGGGAAATGCAGCAGAGGAGTGTTTCTGAGACCCACAAATTGCCAATGATGGGTGCTACCCGATATCTTCCATATAAATATACACTTCTGCTGGCAGAACAATATGAGCAGACAGTGAACGGTGTCTAAAATTAGTGGTTTCCTGAGTGAGTTTGAAGGGTTGGCACCCTGGTTTGTTACTCTGAGCAGGTTCTTTTTCTTTTTTCTTTCTGTCCAAGTATTGGAATATTTTTCCTGCTTTTATTTTCTAGGAGCAGATTTCGTGGATGCCATATTGCAGCATGGTCTTCATTTTTTCTTTCATCTTCTTTTTTTCAAGTGGACCAGGTGTGTATGCTACCTGCAATAACTCTATGTTAAGATTTCTCATTACGAAAACACTACAACTCAACATCTGGAATGAAGTTGCTCATTGCAATTAAATTTGGAAAACAGAATGAGGGACTTTTCTGACATTGACGTGTGTCATGCCTCCTGTAAATTAATACAGAAAAATCCAAAACATTGCTACTGCCTGTGACATTTGTCATATAATAGTCAATTATAGAGTCGTTTAGTGGTTCAACAGCTTGATTCCAACCCCCACCACCTTTCCTGTGAAAAGGTATCTCCTTGCTTTTAATGTCCGGTTGCACCTTAGGGTTTGCAATTGAGCACGAGATAAACTATTGGTCATTCAGAATCACTTTTCAGGATCTTGAACCTCAGTATGTAGTGCCATTCTGTAGTTAACAGCTCTTTTTGTGGGTTCTGGGGATAGAGTATGATATTGGAATTTGATTGGTTTCGATCCAGGTGGTAGCGATAGATCACACTCTTGACCAGAGTGTGCTGAGACAAACTGAAAACTCAACGCCTTTTCAAATATTGTGGAAAGAGAACTGTTCAAATACATATGCAAGAACTTGCAGTTTTAATGGAGTAAACAGAATTCCATCAGCTTACCCTGTGTACATCTACAGCCGGAGTAACAGCTCCCCTGCCTGGAGAGATTTTCAACCAGTCCTACAAACCAGCTGCCTTTGTCATCGCATGTTCTATCAACTGGATTGGTCTCTTTCTCATCGGAATGATCTTCCCCCTGATTGTGGTGAGAGAATTGTATATTATACAATTACAGACATAGGTTCTGGTCCATCCTTTTACACATTATAATTATTGTATTATTTATGTATTATATTTGTATAAATCTTTTCCTGTATTTTACATACATACTGCAGTACACAGTAAAGATCTCGACAGAAAATAAGAGTTTATCTCTGGGATTATATCCCATCATATTATTGCAGTATTTTACTTGTTACATGACAATACGAAGAAACCTACTAGTCTCTGCTAAATCTTTTTTTGTTGCAGGATCACTTGGGCTACTTCTGCTTTCTTATCTTCTTCGGATTTTGCTTCTTCTCTGGGGTGTTTGTATGGTTCGGCGTGCCAGAGACAAAAAACAGGACTGCGCTGGAAATCGCAGAGGAATTTAGGAAAATGCACACAAAAACAAAAATCAAAGCTGTAGAGTCCATAGGAAATATTGAAGCCCAGCAATCCATCTGGTCAACCAAGCTCTGACTCCTGGCATGTGGATTTGTGAAGGCAGAGAAGATATTCTGTAATAATAACAAAATAATAAAATGTGTAATAAAAGGTTTTTGGTATATATAGGCAAAATGGTCATCAGAATCTTTAAAAGTAAAATGTGTTGCCTTACTCTCTTTATGCTTGCTATATTTAGAATATGGTTGTAGATATTCACAAAACACTACTGTAAAATCACATCACAAAACTTCCTTTTGTTTGGTATTTTGCTTTTTGGCGAGCATATAAAAACAAGATATCCAGACTGTGAAACATTATTTTTCTCAGAATGTTGGCTAAAGCTTGTATCAACGTTTTAAATAAACACCAGAGTATGAGAATGTGAAATCTTCTGTTTCCGTCTTGTTTTTTATTCCAACAGGAAGACTAAAACTGCCAGCTTTTATGCAGGTGCAAAACCAACTCTCTGAGGCATATTTGTTATAACTACAAAAATACTAACAGACTGTTCGTTTTTGCTTTTGACCTGCAGAATTATTTATACTACTACATGTTTATTTTGCTTTGTGTAACCATTATTCATTTAAAAACATAACTGCAAACGAAACCACATGGAGACATTAACTGCGCCTGCCTCACAGGCGCTTCTATTCTACGTCACATCCTACGCAGCTCAACATCCGCAGACGTCAGCTGCGTGCAGTTCGTTGGGGTGGGTTGGCGGAATTTTTAAATTCTCAGACGTGAGGCTTGAAAAAACAACAGGAGGTGTATACTAATAAAGTGGTCAAGGTAAAGTGATGGATGAAGATTATATTTATTATTATTCAGGGGTGACGTGCGGTTTGATACGTTAAACGTGAACATGCAACATTTTCGGACTTCGAGTTTGCCGTGTTTCTAATTGCAGTAAATGTCATTGTAAATGTAGAGAAACGGACACCCGAGCGTCTTTGAATCGCTGCAGAAATCGACGAGTGCAAAATTGTAGGCTTTCGCTGGCAGAAAAAAAATAAAAAGTGACATTGCTATGTATTACAATGGAGCTTTAGTTTCAAGTTAGCGGTTTAGTTCCATTCAGTGATGTTTTTCTTTTCCTGTTTCTGGATTGTTTCACTAAACACTGTGTTTCCAATGTGATACTACTTGACCAAACTAACGCACCTAGATTTTAATTTCTGAGAGGCATTTATAGTTTTTATTATTGTTGTTATTCTGCCTAATTCATTCCGAATTCTAGAAGGACGAGTCTGATAACTGCCTTTTATCTGCTGTTAAAACATTGAACCCCAAAGGTACGATGCTAATTCCTAATACAAGTGCTATGTATGTCTAACATATACCGTATATGTCTAACCTAAGAATATAATTATGTTGATTAACTATTTATGTTCGAATAAAAGCCAGGAGACACTAGATCCTACAGGTACTTGAGACGTCAAGAAGATAGACAATGTTTGGATATATAGTTAAAACTGTGTCGAATATTATTTTCCATTAGTTGAACGTTGTAACTGTACAAAGTACTAGTAAGACATAGAATATTGTGTGTAGTTGTAGTCAATGCGATATAAAAATGATATATCCTGCTCTGAGAAGATACGACTTTGGTGTCAAATTCAGTTCACGGAAGGCCAATGAGTCTAACTAAGAACATAATTAGATTTGTTATTTAATTGAGGTGAAATAGAAAAAAATACGGTAGACGTTCAGGAAATAAGGTGGACTAAACAGAAGACAAACTTATTAGTTTGAAGAGTGAAAAACACAGGGGGGTCTGATTGCAAATGCTTTGAAAATTGAGAACAGGAGGCACATTTCTACATAAAGGGATGTGGGAGTCTAACCAAAAGCCTTGCTTCTTTCAGCAAAGGGCTGGACAAGATGTTTGGGTCACTTAGCTACTAGCTGCCAAAAACAAGTTACAGGATATGATCAGAATGGCCTTCTCTCATTTGTAACCTTTACTTAAGACGGTTATAAAGAGAGCTGGCCACATCTAGCCAAAGAGTTTGGTAATCCACGAGATCCATGACTCTAAGATCCTCTGTATTGTGCTGGGTTGTCCCTCTGTGGGTGTTAATATGTTACGTGTTTCATTCCCAGGAGTGAGAAGATGAGTCGTGCTTCCAGCAGTCGGCAGTCACTGCTGCCATTGAGGGTGGCTGACAATGCCAGAATGAGTCTGGCAACCCCACAGCCGTAAGTACCAAATTTCCTAGTGTTAGAAAACAATTTTGAGTGGCACGATAGTTAGCGTTGCCACCTCACAGCACTGGGGCCCTGGGTTCAATTCTGGACCTGGGGTGCTATCTGTGTGGAGTGTGTGTGTTCTCCCCATATTTGTTTGTTTTTGCTCTGGGTGCTTCAGTTTCCTCTGTACTAATATGCTATAATGTACTATAATTGGCTGTGTCTACCCTGCAATGTGCTCATTCCTTGCCTGGATAGATGCCGTCTCCTCTGAGACCCTGTGTTAGATAAAGCAGTAGGAAGATGGGTGGGAAAAATCTGTTTTTGAGAAATCCTCCTTTTAGCCTTTAGTCTTTGTTCTTAATTTTACAAAACTGGGATTAACATTTAAGAATATATACAATAACAGAAATAAATATACGTGCAGATATTCAGTGGCGGTTCATTTGTACGAGAATCTAGTTTTGCAATTAGTGTGTGTTCCTCAGTCAGGACATAATTCAAAACTGAAGGGATGACATACTGCAGGTTATGTTACCAGTGACAATATTGCCTTGGGGTCACTTTCATCTTTGTTTTAAAGATTTTTAATTCTTCTGTGTGTCTCTCCTGATGCAGTAAAGAGCGCCCTGGGTTAGGAAAGTTGAGTATTGCAAAGCCCCAGTCGGGAACCTCTGAGCGAAGAACAAGCTTTTTTGGAAAAAGGTAATTTGGACACGTGTTGTTTTGCTTTACTTTTCACACCTGATCACGGCATCTTGTGAAAGTGTATACTTTGTGTTTTAGGACGAGTGGTGCTGGTATGTTTCGCAACAGTGCATTTGGGACTTTTGGAGGCACGGAGAAAATGAAAGATCCTCGTCCCCTTCATGACAAAGCATACGTCCAGCAGTGCATAAAACAGCTTAGTGAGGTACGAAAAAGAACTAATTGGATATTCTTGAAAAGTACTGTTTCTTCTGAGCGTCCATGTTCCTGAATCAACTGTACTCTTTTTCAGTTTCTGTCAGACAATGGGTTTCCCAACACTGTGACAATGAAGTCCCTCCAGTCTCCATCCACCAAGGAGTTTTTGAGAATCTTCTCCTTCATCTGCAGCTTCTTGGATCCCACATTCGACGTACCAACATCCAAAATTGAGGAAGAGATTCCTAAAATTCTTCGAGAGCTGGGGTATAGTAGTATATGTCAAAATCAAGTATGATGCTTTAGATTTTGAAATATAAATGACCAGAAGCACGCTCATATTAAATGTTCGAAGGTTTAAAACTACAATTTTTGTATTAATTGTACAAACCTTTTTTTTTTACTAGGTACCCTTTTGCCATCTCAAAAAGCTCCATGTATTCTGTTGGAGCACCACACACTTGGCCACAAATACTGGGGGCACTGATGTGGTTAATAGACGTTGTAAAGGTGAGTCAGCAAAAAGGTGGACTTTCCACAATGTAACTCTAGTTTAAATGCAAAAGTCCGTTTGAATCTGTGTATGATTCCTTTCCAAAGGTGAAAGGTGAAGATTATGTTCACAGCTGGTTTTCTCTGCAACTTTTTCAGCATGTCCTAAATACGGTTTTGTTCAATTATAGCTTTCCAATAACATGAAGAGTCACAATTTGCTGTTCTCTGGATTCCCTGAATGTGGCACAGAGATAGAGGATGGTGCTGAATTTACAAAGGTAAAGTGATTTAATTCTAGTAGGAGCATGATTGTATGTCTTTATAGTCTATGCAAGTATTATGCTTCATGTATGTGAATGAGTAAATTGGGAAAGCAGCCTGAAAGCTAGTTATTGTTTCAAATAACAAGGATAAAATTGGGTTGCTTTAATATTAATTTGGTTTTGTGTCTTGCTTCTAGATTAAATGTAAATCCAAAGTTAATCATGATGTTTCAGAGAAGAAATGCTGCGCTCAGTATTTTCATTTTAAGTTTTTTCTTATATACGTAACGTCCAGGTATAACAGGAGAGCATTTAAAGCAAACCAGAATGTCCTTTGAGTGGTTAATCTGATTTGATGTAAATATTGGGTTGTGTTTTTCAGATTTTTGTTGAGTATGTTTCAAAGGCCTATAATCGTTTCATGCAAGGTGCCGACACATTTGAAGAGGAAGATAAAGAGTATCTTTGTAAATTAAGTAAGTAACGCTGTAATACTGTTAAGGATTCATGTTGATGATTTATGCATTTTTAAACAAATCCTTAAAGTATGCAATGTGTAGGGTCGCCAAAGAGTGATGTGGTTTTAATCCTCATTGAGTGCAGAGGCAGTCAACTCACAGCCTTCTGTTTTATGTAAGTGTAATGTATAGTAAACCTTAGTCAGAAGGAGTCACAATGCTTATTGTGACTTCAACACCCTGGAATCTACTTGCACCCACTCCAATTCCAGAAACAGGGTTTAAATCCCCCCAGTGTGTTGTGTATATTGCACTATGTATTGCCTTGTAATTGGCACTATCTGCACTTTGCACTATGTGTATCCTGTCTACAATATCTATGTCTGTGTCCTGCTTTTTTACACCGTGGACCAGGAGGAATGATATTTTGTTCCACTGTATACTTGTATATGGCTGGAATGACAAATAAACGTGAACTTGAACTTAACGTACCTTTTTTGATCCAGAAAAACTATACAATTTTGATGAAGCCCATATGGAAACACTGTCTTTTAAACACAAAGTGCTGACAGAAGAGGTTGAAAGACTTGAAAAGGAAACTCACCAGGTTAGTACTGTTATCAATGTAGTACAGGGTGTAAACTTTTAATTAACAAATTTGTTAATTTTGCTTATCTTGAAGTGTTTTGAAAACTTGTATTTTGTTTAAATATAATGCTAGTTTTAAACGTCAATCTTTTTTTACATGACACATTGTTAATGATATCTGTGTTAATGGCTGTCTTTTTATGAACAGGACATATCTATAATAAATACATATGTTTGTGATACTGCTAGATTTTAACTGAATCAAGTTATTTGATCTTCGAATTTAGCTGTTTGTTTTTAATTTTTCAACAGGATAGAATAATGGCAAAACAAGCAGAAAAGATAAAAGCGCAGACAGACCTGCAGAAAATTCAGAATTATCTAAGTAACCTTGAGACCTTTAAAACCAACCTGGAGCAGTCAATATCTGCTTTGTCTAATGAAATAGAGGGAGAAGGTATTTTTTTTTCAGTTTCTGTTTCATGTTTATTTTAAAGACATGGTATTTTAATTATGTGATCAATGAATCTCAGTAAATACAGCAGTAGAATTTTTCATAATCTGTATTATAATTAAATATATAAACTGTTTTTTTTTTTGTTTGATATAAAAGTCTGTCAATGTTTAGAATGCATCCACTTTTTCTCATCCAGTGTGTTTCCATTCTCATGCTTTAAACTGGCTGCCACTCTTTTAGAATTTAAAAACGAAAGTGACTTCCTGTATCATCATCATGTTTTGTGTTTTCTTTTGAAGAGTTGCAGGTGGGAACATTAAAAAAGGAGCAATCAAGGCTGCAGCACAAACTCGAAAACCAGAAATTTTCTCAAGCCGATATCGAGAGAATCAACCTGGAAAGAAATGAACTGCAGCAGACGATTGCTACCCTGACTAAAAGTCTTGAAGAAGCTGAGCACCATATGTGGAATGAGGAAATCGCACTGGCAAAGGCTAAGGAATCTGTAAGTGTTTCCAGGAGTGTAGCAGGAGTGTGATGGCAAATAAATACTTCAGCCTTCAGTTTGGAATTTGGGATTTTAATTAGATCTGGATTGGGTGTCTTCAGTGAAAATGTATATTTTAGATTATGCCACTGTTCTGAAATTCAAAATGTAATCCTTTTTTTGTCAAAGTTGGATACAGAACTGGCAGAATATCACAGACTTGCCAGAAAGCTACAGCTGATCCCATCATCTGCTGAAAACGCCTGTGGCCGGGACTTCGAAATCAGGATTTCCCCTGACGCTGGACCATCGAATATTGCTCAGTATAAAGCTCAGATTCATGTAAGACTCTTTTTGCAGTTTGTGTTTTATAACGCTTGTTATCTCCACTATGACCAGTTTTTTTATGGGACTGTTTCTTTTATTTTAAGATTCCCTTGATGAATTTGATTTCTGAAACGGAAGAGGAGAATCGCACACTCTCAAATCAGAAATTAAGCCTCCAGGAGACACTGGAACAGGTAATAGATTGACTTATAGCACTCTTAGCCTTTCCATGTTTTAGTATCTGTAAGGGTAGATGTAATTTTGACAAAAAAATGCCCCATAAGTGACATTTTGAGAAAGTGTTGAACGCCTTTAAGACTAAATTAAAGCTCTGAAATGCACTTTTTTGAAGGTGAATTCCAATATAGCGGATAAAATGAACGATACGAAGCTGCTGAAAGAGCAGATACGAAAGCTAGAGGGAGAGATGGAACAGGAACTGCAGGCAAGTATTTTGTTTTCCATTTATTCTATTAACTTCCATTTCTTTAACGATGATTTTTTTTAACCAGATTAAATTTGCTAAAATTATCCAGACAGGGAGGGCGGCACAGTGGCGCAGCGGTTAGTGTTGCTGCCTTGCAGTTCTGGAGCCCTGGGCTCAATTCTGGACCTGCGGTGCCATTTGTGTGGAGTCTGTGTGTGTGCGCTCCCTGTGTTCGTGTGGGTTTCCTCCTACGGTCCGAAGGCATACTAGTAGGTTAACTGGCTTCTGGGAAAACTGACCCTGACGTGAGTGTGTGGGTCTGTCGGTGTCTGCCCAGCGACGGAGTGTCATCCTGTCATCCAGGCCGCATCCTGCCTTGCTCCTGATGCTTTTCGGGACAGGCTCCGGCTCCCACACGGTCCTGCAATTGGTAAAGCAACGGTAAAAAAACGGTAAAGCAATTGGAAAATGAATGGCTGGATCCAGACAAGGATGGCGGGTCTTTGCTCTTGCTTGTTTTCCAATGATCCTGGAGCCCCTGCACGTTGCCTTGATATTCTGCACGCTGTGCCCCATGTGTCCTTTAGGAGATGGAGCGTGAAGAGCAGAAGTGGGCTTCTGAGCTAGAATCGATGGAAAGTAACAAAAAGCTTCTGGAGAAGAGAGTGACTGAAGGTTATGATGAAGCTGTGGAACAACTGAAAGCAGCCCAGCAGCAGTGAGTTAATAGAACAGGCTCTAACTCTTGTTTCATAGATCACGCAAAGGACCACCTTGCTTACAAGCATGCTACCTAGTAAGCAGGGACACAGGATTTTCCACATACTGCAGTCATCAGTTATATCTGATGAATTGTGTCGTGCTTCTCAGTTACTCGTAGATAATCTACAACTACAACTGTATAATCCCTACTGGAAACACTTTTAAAATTTAACAATGGTAATGAGTAAGCAATTTCGAATGGAACAAAATGTTTGTGAAGGGATGAAACCTGCCTGTACCACTCTCTCTTCAAAACATATGTGAATATACATTAATTTGATTATGTGAACACTAGCTACACTGTAGCATGTTGTTGAGGGATTCAAAATCAAAGCTGTAGAAGACTGCTGTTTCACTTTTTTTTTCTGTTTTTGTTCAGGTATCACCTAGTATTGCAGGAGACCAAAGAACAGTCCAGGACAGTTGCCAGGAACCTTAGTGATGTTTTTGATACTGCAACCAACCACTTGTCCATTTTGGAGGTACGTGTTTAGATAGGTCATCACATTGTTTCCAGAAAAACTGACATTTTGCTGAAAGTAACCTGCCTGCTACACTCTTCTGAATGACATCATATTTGATCATTCAACAGCTCTAAAGTAATTTGAAAATATATGTTTGATAAAGTTAAGATATTAAATTTCATAAAGGACTAATGAATTGCAGTTGAAATTAAGACCAGTACTAGATGCATATTACTCAGAATGCTTACTTTGTAGTTTAGCTTCCACAGAGAAAGAATTACTCAGTAGCATCAGATAAAGCATGCTTTAAGCAAAGATTTTCTTTGTCATCCTCATAGTACTGCACTTGTCTTTCAGAAAGCTATTCAAGAGCACCACAAAAGGATTGACCAAGACTACAGAGCAACACTCCAAGATGATGAGCTAAAGGACATTAGGGAGATGATAGAAAAGTACCACGAAAAAGCAAATTATAAATAACTGTATTTTATTAAATACTGTGACCCTGTAAATTTTCCTTCTGGCAGTTTTATTTTAGTATTCTGTTACTTAAAGGAGGAAATTTGTTTTGTATTCTGAGAGTTATTTAAAATGCAATATTTGTTTAAAATCATGTGTTGCATTTTATAGTGCCCATCAGTGTAATTATTAAGATCAGTTGTTAGGACCTAATTGTTTTTCAAAAGCATAATTTTAAAATTATATTTGGCTTCTACGTTTTATACCGTTGGAATTTATTTCTACAGCTGTTGAATATTTGAAAAGCATGCAGTTATCTTGTAACCTTAACACGGTGTTATAAAATGCTTAATAGGGATTCTTAGGAGTATCTTGTACAAATTCAGTAGAACTGTTTTGTTGCATTGTTTAATAGTGAATAAAGTGAATAGCTGTTCTGTTCAATCTTGTAAAATGCATTACCAATCAAATGTTTTTTTCTTTACATTGTTGAAGATGTTATGACCAAAACTAAATAAGAAGGTTGTATTTAAAAGTGGGAGGATGAGTTTTGCAAACTCTGTTGCCTCCAGAAAATAGCGTTGAACCTACGAGCTACGTCATAGGTGGTTAACTTGTTGGCGTGCGTCATGTCTTTTTAAATGTTAAGGGTACGAGCTAAACTGTAACAGAGCGCTTGAACTCGACAGACGTTCACCAGAAAAACAAGGCGCTATATCTCGGGAACGAAAACAGCACAAACCGGCACAAACGTAGCACTAATTAACGAGGTGGGTTTCATCGTTTGTGCTGTCTGTAGGGGCGCCATCTTCACGGAGCTGAACCAACGCAGGACTTAGGTTTACGAACCATTCAAAGAGTATGGAAACAGAAATTGCTTCTCTTTAATTCGTTTAGAGATGACAGACCAGATACATCCCTGGGAGTAAAGGATCGCCCTTACAATGACACAAGCTGCTCAATCTTAGTCCCGAATATCGAAAACTACAAGAGGATACATGTATAAAAACATAACAGGAGGCACTTCTTCTACACAGTTGTATGTGTTTGGAACTGTCTTCCGTACAAAGAGGATAGGATAGCTAACAGCTAATAGGATAACAGGATAGCTGTTAGGAAACAAGTAGGCTGGTGCAAAGGACACTGATCCTGTTCTCTTCTTATACCCCTTTTATGTTAATATTATTATGCTTTTCCACAGACATACTACTCTAACAAAAATCTGCAGTGTTCTTATTTTGTATCGAAGAAACTGCCTCCTTCTGCCACAGCTGCGTCTGTAACGACCACTGTTCTCTGTTACAGGAGTTAGGCAAAGGAACTCGTAATAGGTTTATCCCATGCCGTTAAAAACAAGGGAGAAAGATCACACAACATCCAATCCAGGATAGGACGTGAAATCGGGTGAGCGCATGTGCTGCAGTGACTGATGGTTGTAATAACTCCGCCTTTAGCGTGTAGTGCGCCTGCGACGCAAATCTGCCATAAAGCGTTAGGACAAGTGCACGCAGGACAGTTCATTCACTGCTGCTTATTTCAGGTGGGATCCGCTACATATTCTTCTCGGCCGGAGCTTTTACCGAACGCAAAGATGCCGATGTTCGTCGTGAGCACGAATGTCTCCAAAGACGCCATTCCTGCGTCCCTGTTGTCAGAAGCCACCCAGGAGCTGGCGAAGGCCATGGGGAAACCTGCGCAGGTAGGCGGCATCGTGCAAAAGAGACCCCATGGTGTAGCGGGTCCGAAAACGTCCGGTCCCGGGGGGCAGTTCTGATTTTCTCGGGGTCCCGGCGACCCTCCCCGGTAACCAGCCTCCTGTGTGATAACGGGATGGCCGGGACATGACTTTGCTGTTTCCAGTCAAATGTAGGTGAGCCTATGACGGAGTGAGTGTGGGGGAAAATAGTCATTATTTAAACGCTGCACAGGTTCTTCAACAAACCTGTCATCGATGAGCCCACGTAGGTAAATAAATCGGCAGCAGGGGCTCCCTTGACAGGGGATTGTGATTACTTGTAGCTCCGTTGTGCCGAACCGGCGCTCATTAATTATCCGGGTGATCATCACGCGTGTGCTGAATGCCTCTGCACGCACGGACACCCAATATCTCATGACTGGTCGCATCCGTTCCGTTCAGGCGTCACTTCAGTCAGTTGGACTATGTTCAGTTTTGCACTGATTTCAGTGGTAGTGACGACACCATTTTATGTGCATTTAATGTGGCAATCTAGTTCACTGCTCCCCTTTCTAGACTGTTCTACGTCCTACTAGGTTTCCTTTGCTTTTAAGATCTAAATGTCAGCAGCACTTCACAAAAGGCGGGGAATATTATGGCTGACAAATTGCAGAATTGCATTTACTGTGGAGTGTTTTAAGATGTTCTATTCGTTCTGGATTGTATTAAACGTAAAAGGGATTTACTTATGGGGACCGTTAGTATAAAAAATGTAAATGTTGGGGAAAAACCGGACATCAGAGTATTTGCAGATAATATTAAGCTGTGCATCAGAAACAGTTTCAGAAGTCTCTGAAGCCTTACCATCTTTGCCACTTTTTGAAAGTTTGAGTCAAACCTGTATCTTTCACGTGTATCATGCAGTACATCGCTGTGCACATCAACGCGGACCAAACCATGATGTTTGGGGGGAAGTCGGACCCTTGTGCTCTGTGCTCCTTGCACAGTATTGGGAAGATAGGGGGGCAGCAGAACAAGCAGTACTCCAAGCTGCTGTGTGGACTCCTCACCAAACACCTGGGTATCTCCGGAGACAGGTACAGTACAGCCACAGCGGGCCGTGAAACAAAAGTGCTGTTTTTGCAGCTCTGAGCAAGCACATGGGCTCTATGTATAACCTCTACCTAAACCTTTGTTATAGCTATAGTGTCTTGGACAGGGTTCAAACACAGTCTGCTGCACTACGCCTAAACCTTTCAAAAAGCATAGCAGTATTGGGATATTTAGAGCACCTAGCATAAGTACTAGTTATTTTACTCGCCGTGACTAGAGCTGTAAGTATGCAAGAGAACAGGAAATCTCTCAAACTATATGTAGTTAGAGCTGTTGCTGGGTGGTTCTTTATGGGGGAGGAGAAGTGCATGATTTTAGGATGGTGGAGGTTTTCCCCCCAAACATCCCACTGCATCAGTGGGAGATAAAATGTGAAATGTAAGTTACTTTGTTGGTTTAAGATACTTGTCTGGTAATGATGCTGATACTACCTTAACTTCTTACTGTTGTAATATTCTAAAGATATTTATAGCCATCTTACTGTTTCTGTCACATCCAGGATCTACGTTAACTTTGTTGACATGGAACCACAGAACGTGGGATGGAACAGCTCAACCTTTGCCTGAAGGATCAGAATTTCCTGTAGCTTCCTCTCTATATCCCTTGCACTTTTACATTCTGGCACTTGCAACAAGAAATGTTTAGCAATCCCCATTACAGAACAAGATGAGTATGCTTCTCACGTTGCACTGTCTACATGCTTCAGCACTGTAATAAAGTTTTCCAAAACCCACCTGATTGCAAGTTGTGCATGTTTTTTTTTTTTTTACACCGTACAAGAGCAATAGGTTGGTGTCTCACCCTTAACCTGTACAGGGTACAAGGCACTCTATGTATAAACTGAATTGGTTTGGGTTTGAAGGGCCAGAGCCTTCATGTTGGAATATGATCAAGGTTAGGGGTTGGCAAGTGTTTGGAGGCTAATAAGAGCAGGAAACACAGCAATCCTAACAAACAGGGTCTAAAGTACTGCGAGATCAAACAAGATACGAGTGAGCTCTCGTGAGCTCTACGAGTGTGTTTCAAGTCATCCTCAACTCAAGAGGTCTTGCTGTGCAAGCTGCCCTGATATTGCTACAGGAAACATGCCGTGACTGGCCCCCATTTTAAATACCTTCTGATGATGCCTATTTTTCACCACTATAATAAAAAAAATACTGAATATAGAATCAAAAGGTTTAATACAAACACATATAGGTTTAATAAAATAACACATACAAACATGTAAAATCTGTTGTAGAGATGGTTTGTTTCTATTTAAGCAAAAGTAAAATGTACAAGTTTATTAGAAATCTAAACATCTTTCTCAGCATTTTATTGTGTTTTGCAGTTTTCAGCTCCATCCTTCTGAGGAGCTAGTGACCACCAGTCTCCCTCACTGTTGGGCTCAGCTGTTGGGTTCACATCTGCAAAAGTGAAACAAAAAGTGCAATTTTAATGTCCATTTATGAAGAGTTTTGCACAGTACATTTTTATAGTAGAGAACTTGCTCAATACATAATTAAGTTGTCACCCCCCCTCCCCAAAACAACCATAATGCAAATATTTAGAGACCCACAAACAGCCTAGGTTTCCTTTTCAAAGTTGCCTGAAGGTCTTATTTCAGGATAGGATGTGAAAATAGATTTGGTGCATGTGATGTAAGATTCGAACAGGCACTACTTGTCCTAGCACAAAACTGAAATCCAATAAAAAAATATCAATAATAGAGGCTGGATCAATAACTACAGTAGTTCCCAACCATATATGTTTTAATAAAGCACACACCACACATATATATATATATCTCAAGTAACGCCAAGCTGGTTGGGAATAATGCACCTCACCGCTTAAAATGAGAAATTATTGCATCTGATTACTTCTAAATAGTAGATATTTAACTCCCTCAGTGCTCTTCCAGATCATAAGGAGAGAATCTCCCTCCTAGATGCAAAAATACTTTAAAAAGACAAAGCAAATGACCCTTTCACCAGAATGTGTGGCCACACCAAATTATTTTTGCTTAGTCTGATCCTTAGCAGAGACACTGCGTATCCCAACCTCGAAAGCATACATTTAAAACTTCATTCTGGGACTGGATCTTCACTCTGGGACTCGGAGGATCACGGTCCACCAGATTTTATAGGTTAACAGTTAACATCTCCAATGAACGAACTTAATCTAGACCAATTAAGCAAATAATGGATTAGAGTCATTAAAAGCCTAGGATGGAATGAAACCCAGAAGACTTGGCAGGCCACCAGCACCAGCAGTGGGCATCAGTGTATTAAAAGAAGGCTCAGGTGAACTCCCCATGCAAGTAGGTGGAATGAGACATCACTGTGCTAAAAGCCTTACAATCACTTCACCGCCCCAAGTGCTCAGAGCTAGGGACAAGCATCAGTTACCCTTCGCTGGTTTACTATAATCATGCAAGCTGGCAGCTGCCACAGACGACTGTGGATGGTTTGCAATTTCTAACAAATACAAAATAACATTCATGCAAATGTCAGACTTCAATGGACGCAATATGTTGTAAAAACATACATCAATAGGTCTTAAATGTAATGAACAAACCTGGGATTGTTCCTAAAGTGGAGTTGTCAAAAAATTGCTTTGGACAGGCGACGGACAAGGACCCCGACCGGGAGTCAAAGAATTTGCTCTTGGGCGAGTCCAGGATGAAGCCCTCAGAGGTGACCTGCCGTCTCTTAGTAGGCGTGCGTGGAGACACATTGGGCTGGTTATCACAGAGCGTCTCCATCTCGGACAAAGAGCCTTTCAGCCCCGACGTTTCCTTCAGTTTCCTTGCCCTTCCCTTCCATTTGGACGCCTCAGCCTGCAGACTGGACACCACACTGTCCAATTTAAGAAAGCGTTAGAAACATCACCACAGTTAAACTACCCTCTCTTCATTGTTCAAATTCCTTGGGAGACGGGAATAAAAAATCTTTACTTTTTCTTGTCTGTTATTAGAACAATCCCATCTTGTTTTGTGTATATTTGTCCTATGTAATTAATGTGAGGGAGTAATTATAGTTTCCTGATCTTATGACAGCTTGACTAACATGTCTCCTAATTTTAAGGACACCTGTCCCACAGGACATATGTATGAAACCTCAGGGTTCCTGTGCCTTAACCTCATGATCTGGAATAGTGGTATTCTGGGACCTGCTGCCTTCCATCTGCCCTTAATCACACCTATTCTGCTCTGCCGGTGAAACCACAAATTAGCCACTACCAGTTTAGTCTCCAAATATCCAGTGTCCTGTACGCCAAGTCCCCTGAGTGCAGTTTAATGCAACTTTAGCATTGTGCACATTGGGGACAAAATGGAGAATCGCTGACTTACAAGAGCTGCTTAGCTGTCTGGCAAATATTTTCTTATTCCTAAATGTACTCTCGTCTTCTCTTTGTTCCACTCCAGGAGACTCTTAGCATAAGCTTACCTTTCCATTTGGCCAATTTTCTTTTTCTGCTGGTGGACTTCTGCTTCTAGCTTGGCTTTCTCAGCCTTGATCATGAGCATCATGGTACTTTGGACAATCCCACTTCCCCCACCACATGTGACTGGAGCCTTGGTATGGGGTTTTTCATCAGCGACAACTAGAAAAAACAAACCTTGCCATCATCTATCCACCCGTCACAAGATGGTAAACAATAAAAACTCTGAACTGTATTGTGTTCAAGAGAATATGCAGGTTCTGTAATGTTTCAGCTCTTCATTTAATGCCTTTAGTCAGCTCAAGTCTTCCTAAACTGCTGCATACCAAGTCCAGGTCTGCTGTTTTATGGTTATATTTGTGCCTTTATTATTTTAATTATAAGGCTTACATGCAGCAGTCCTGCACTAAGTTCCAAAAAAAAGTTCAAAACCGGTGACTGTGTTTAGTAGATACCGGTAAACATTAACCTTTCAAACCTGGCAGTTTCTATTGACTATACAAATTCAACATGAAGTCATTGACATTTAAATGGATACAAGCAGGAAATGGTCATATACTAAATGTATCCACCTGATAGAGGTGTGGGTGGATTCTCTTTATACACATTCAATTCCCAGAAAGGAGTAGAACATAAGCTTAGTATTAGCTGTGAAAGTCCGCTCCAGGCTTGCTAAGTAAGTGGAAAATGTGCCCGTTTTTCTTAACATCTCACACGCACAGACGCCGATGCAGGGACGAGTTCGGGAAATGCTGACTTGTATCATATAGAATGCCTGGTAGAATCCCAGTTAGAAATGAAATCCATCTGACGATCCATTCGGCATACTGCGTCAAACCGTCACTTGTCCCCGGTTAAGTTTAAAGGTAGTTCTGTAATGGGAGCTGTACAAGCCTCTCCTCCCTGACAGAATACTCACATGAGGCCTCTTGATCCTGCTGGGATTTCCGAAGAGTTTCCTTGAGCTTCCTGAGAGACTCATCTCGGTGCTCCAGGGCTGCCGTCATTGCAGCCACCCTAGATAAGCGGTATTTACAAGTGATTAATGTCATGAATCCATAGCCATGTATCTTTTTGGGAAGATTCTTATTCCTGGAATGGGTGGTAACAAAAGCTCAGAGCCTGCCCTAGTAGCACAGGGTTCAAAGTGGAGCTGGGCTGCAGACATGACACCAGTCCAGAGACGCCCATTAACCTAGCCAGCAGGTCTTTGGAAGCTGGGAGGGAACTGAGCCAGCCGGGGAAAGCTCTCGAAACGGGGGAGGAGACTGAACATCCCGCGCAGAAAACCCCTCAGGCCAGAACTGAACGCAACATGCAGCTCTGTGAGATAATGGCACTGACCAGCAAGCTACAGTACTGTGCCATCCCTGTGTGAAGTTTATACAAGCTTATTGAACCTATTACTGGTAATATTATTTCATATAACTAACCTAGCCAGAGCCACCAACGTTCAAATCCATGGACTGCACAAAACGAAAAATGTACTGGAAATATACAGTACGAAAATAGCAAGAATTAAGCAAAATTTAACAAACACAAGAAAAGGCCCATTGGGGTGGGGGGCAGTGAAGCGAAGAGGCCAGAGGGAGATGAGAGAAGATATCAGGACAAGCCGGGCGATTGCAGCGAAGTCCGGAGGGTGCCCTTACGTTTGCTCTTGTTTCTTCAACAGCCCCGTCCTTTCCATCTCCATTTTAACAAGTTTACTCCTCAGGGTTTCCAGCTCTTCTATATATGGAGACGCTCCTTTCTCTGCCCTTTTCTGAAAAGCAAAAATAAAATCATACTTGGCTCATTACACATTTACACTCCTGTTCCACACAATACCCCACTGGCCCAGTGGGTCACCACACAAGCAGGATTTGAATAAAACAATGGAAAACTCTGCGAGAATGATCAGCTGCTGGAATGGTCAGCAGTGCCTTTTCTTAATGCAATCTTTGGGAAGACACACCTCCAGCTCGCTCAGGCTGCGTCTCAAGGTCGAGATGGACTCGTCTCTCTCCTTCACCTGGGCCACGAGCTTCTGCAGCTCCATCTGCATCCCGTCTGCGGCTCTCTTCCGATCTGCGGCTTTGGCTTCTGCGTCAGCCAGGGATCCCTCCAGCTTCTTTATTTTCAGCTGCATTGTCTGCCACAACCCCGTGATGGAGGAAAAAAGATAGCTCACTCTTATTGAGACCCACCAAGGCAATGAAATGGGCCAGTAAAAAGCCGAGTCTTCATATAAGTTTAAACTCAAAGCTACAGTAAACAGCAAACATTCAGTATTTGAACTAAAAATCAAAAGGGTTTTAGACTAAAAAGTGCACAAAAACCAATACCACAATCTTCTAGAAGTCGTACCTTTATTTCCTTTTCACTCCCTTCAAGTCTTTCCAGCAGCAGGAGATTCTCCTGCAGCACTTCGGACCCTTTTTTGGGAGACCCATCGTCCAATTCCACCAGCAGAGTTTGACTCCTGTCCCTCTGCTCCTTAAGCTCTGCTGTTGACTTAGCAAGGAGGGCTTGGCATCTCTCCTTAATATCATAGTATTTTGCTTTTAGGCCCTACAAAAATAAAAGTGAAAAAAACGTCATTTTTTGTTGCATCTGAACTGAGGCTCACTCCCCACAGAAAACACCTCAACCAAAGACCCCAGAAGGATTTGTTTGAAAAAAGCAGCAGTTTTTTTACATGTCATGTAATTACATGTCAACAGCAGCCACACGTTTCTCAATTATGAAAAGCAAGCAAGAAGCAAAGGGTTTGGGGGCTAAAACAACAATTAGCAAATGGAAGGTTATTTGGTTATCTGGGGTCCTGTTTTGGAGCTTTACACAGATGGTCAGAGAGCCAGTCTGCCACACGTCAGAGAAGGCTGCTCAGCCTACTGTGTTTACGCAAAGAGAAGCCTGCAACCTCTTTTTGTACTGGTTGTAACCAGAATATCCCCACCCAAAGTGCAAATCTCCAACCACTCCCCTCAAGAACAGCTATACCAAATTGTCCCTATCAAATCTAATCTGCCCGTCTTTCAAAGGTGAGAGGAAACCCACACAAACACTTGCAGAACATATAACCTCCACATAGATGCTCCAGGGTGGAATCATAAACAGGATGTTGGGCCTGTGAGGCAGCAGTGCTAACCACCATGCCTCTCCTTTTCTAAAGTACTTTGAGGTCAAAGACAAAAGTCACTTTATAAATATGGATACTAATTCATAGTGCTTGTGCACTTGTATCAGCTTATACAGTGCTTGTTCACTTGTAATGCCTGTTCAAGTAAGATAAGAGATCACTTTATTGGCCATATACAATTACTGGCATTAAGAATTTGTCTTTTCGCATACCCCAGCTTGCTCTCCATGAAATACACAGACAGGGAGAGAAGCTTGGGGTCAGAGAGTAGGGTCAGCCATTTATACGGCGCCCCTGCAGCAGTTGGGGTTAAGGGCCTTGCTCAGGGGCCCAACAGAGTAGGATTCCTCTACCGGCCGCGGGATTTGAACCGGCAACCTTCCAGCCACAGGCACAGATCCTTAGCCACAGTGCCACCACTCCGCCCCAGTGGATCTGGATACGTTTAGAATAAAGCCCTGGAAAAAAGGCCTTTAGACTCCCTGAGGACTAAATTACCAATAAAAATTGATCACTTTACCTCTAAGACCCGTGTTGTTTGTTGAAGTTTCTCAGTCATCCTGGTATTCTCCTTCTGCAGGACCTGTTCCAGCTCTACAAACCCAGCTGTAGGGGCAGCACACAGCGCTTTCAGAGTCCTGTTGATTTCCTCCTGGATCGGATGCTCTTGTGCTCGACTGGTAGCGTGACAAGATAACCCATCTTCCAGCTCTGCCAAAATCTCAGTCATTTCCTTCATAAAAAAATGACAGTAATTTATAAAAGTTATCGGATGAAATTCTATCTTCTTGACAATGCCCCCTGTCGATTTAAACAGAGGAAGTGTACTTTCCGTCTCTACATTCCCTTCTTGGTTAAAAACGTAACATATTATGTCTGTGTGAAGGTAAGAGGTAAACATAATGCAGGTCATTGCAAGCATACCGATTTTCCCACACCTAAAGATCAGTCCAGGTCTTATGTGTGACCCACAGAACATGCTGCCCCCCACAGCAATTGCAAGTTGTGGCTAAAGTACTGAACCAAACCCTTCCACTGCCTACCTGCACCCGTCTCTGCCTCTCCTCCAGGAGATCCGACACCCTCTGTGCTTGCTGGCTGACGTGTTCGGAGCTGCTGCCTGAGGCCCTCTGTATCCTCTGGATCAGCAGGTCATGAAGCTTGCGCTCTTCAAAGCTGGCAATGCTGTGCTGGAGAGCTGCCTCAAAGTGATCTTTGTGTATTTCAGCAATACTGGAGTACACACACTGGCAATGAAAGGGTTTTTTAATGGGTATCAGGAATTTTACAATCAAAAAGGCCCTTTGAAATGCAGTATTTTATTTGAAACCACATCTCTATATGCTTCAGGAATCTTTTGACTTCTGTAACAATTGCAATCAACAGTCAATGAAAGTTATTCCTGTGCCTTTATCATAAATATACAAGTTTTATTTCGCTCAGAAATGCACTGTAGAAAATTTGCTAAAGCATATGAAACACTCATTGTAAGCAATTGCCCACCCCTACAGTGCACCACTGATATTCCTGAATATTTAACCCATGCAGTATTTTTATTTTTCCCATTAATTAGTTGATTTTACAGACAAAATTCCCCTTCAGCAGATTTTGTACATTTAATCCAAAGCCTAGTAAAATGAAACCTGTTTAATCAAGTGTTAATTGTATTGCCAATGTTAGTCTTTCACTAATAAGGTATTATTCAATAATTGGAGTCTCCCTCCACTGTCTCATGCAAAGGAAACATAAAATACCCTTTTGTCTAATATTAGCCTTACAAGTCAAGACCCTTTAAGAGCAAGGCAGAATTAAATGCATGCTTGAAGGAAAAATAATATCAACTTACCGCTTGTTGTCTCAGACGAAGGACAAGATCTGTATTTATTTTACTGATGCCGGAATTTAGCTTTAGCATGGATTTGCTCTGCTCTGCAGGCAGGGAGGAGACAAACTGACGCACCAGCTTGCTCTGAGAGGTCGTGTCCTTATTTAGCAGAGCACTGATGTTCTTTGCACAGCTCTTAAACTGGTCAATCTGCAGCTGAAATCTCTTCAGACATTCCTGGGAAAGAGAAACAAGTCAGCAACAGCCACTCTTGCTTCTTTAAACTAAAATGCAGTCATGTGAAAGCAAGTAAACCAGAGGATGCAATAATGACCAATCTTGATTTAGTTGCTTGTCCAAAAATCATATTCACTTATATCTTGGAGTATTAGTAAACTCAATAATTTGGCAGGACATTACTGACACCCACATTGTAGGTATAGAAAGAACTATACAGCCTTGTATGTGTGTGCTTTCGATTGCCATTTGGCAACAAAGAAAAGTCTTGCTTTACCTTTGACTGTTAACTCATTCCTACTAATCAGCCATATGTAATAGATAATTGACACTAGTTAAATGTTCGAAAATTTAAGATGGCTGTTTTCAAGAAAGCAAGAAGCAAACCTAGGTTGGGAGCAAAATATGACACAGAAATTGGAAAAAGAAATAGATAAAGTAATTTTTCATCAGAGTCACATAAAAGAACAGACACCTGATATTGTTCTTCTGATTCCTTAAGGCGCTGAGACTGCCTCTGGTCCTCACTGACAGACGCTTGTGACTGCAGCTCAAATTCGGCAATCAGCTGAAAAGAAAAATAATTCATTGATTCCAAAAAGAAAAATAATTAAAAATAATTCATGACAATTAATATGTGATATCTGCACAAAATAATCCCTAGACACCAAAGATGAGATGCAGTTAAATGGTAGTTTCCCCGTTTAAGCATTGCACTTATTTGAGGTCTCGGGCATGGGTGACTCACAGCCTGGTGTTGCTCAGTCTGGCTCTCGAGCTGCTCCCTGAGGTGCTCCAGGCTCCCCCGCAGCTGCTGCCTCTCCTGAGCCAGAGCCGCCACCTTGCCCTGCAGCTCTGCCAGGCTGCAGTCTCTCTCCTCCAGCGCGCGCTCCTGGCCCTGCACGAGCTGCTGGAACACGGACACCTGCCCACACCCGACAGCGGAAGGAAATCAGCACGTTTAAAAGAAGAAACTCCATGATACACCTGAGGCTGTTTTTGCGATGGGGAAAAAAAAAATGAACCAGAAAGCATACGGGTATATTTATATGTCTGTGCAAAAAATAAAAATGATTTCACATTTCTCATGTAATGATACCAATGCATAATTTATTAAGCTTGGTAACAACTGGGTTATGTTTTAACCACATTTTCATTGATCCTTATTAGAACCATTACTTGCAAAGCTGCTTTCTTGCTTTATGTTTTTTCTTCTATCAAGGCAGAATGACAGCAGCCTTTGCCTTTGTCTAGACTTATTTTCCTAAGTTTGTTACCTAGCATTCTCATCTGTGGGATTCTAAAAAACACAACTTGCCTTTGCAGACAGAGACTCTTGCATGGAGTTTAACTGGACTTCTTTATCTGCTACCAGGCCTTTGAGCTCCTCAGCTTCCTGCTCCTTCTTGTTCAGCTCATCCTGGACTTGGTGTAATTCTATCTGCAACTGGTGTGGAAAATGTAGTTTCCAAACAGGGTGGTTGAAAGTCTATAGTAACAGCTTTTTCTTTCCCAAAACTCCAACTACTGAATTAAATCATTTCAGCCACCCAGCTCCTAACCTAGCACTGGAAAATATTCGATAAATATTCAAATCCAAATCTTCAACATTTCTTGGGAACTGGCCGAAATGATTCACCTTAAACTGGTCACTGGTCACTGACATATTTGGATATTGTAAAACTGTTATACAATGAAAAAAGAAGAAAACATACTTTGGATACAGCATCTTCCAGTGAGTTGAGCTGGCTCTTCTCAGCCCGGACTGACTCCAGGGTTTCCTGCAGCTGCTCTCTCTCCTGCGTGAGGGAGTCGATGTGGGTCCTCAGCTCCTGCAAGTCAGACTCGGTTCTCTGAGTCGAATCTCTCTTCTCCAACAGGAGAGAATCTCGCTCGCTGTTCACCAACTGCAGCTGCTCACTCAACTCATTCACCTGCAGGTGTAAAAATATTGTTTAAGTGTACTGCCACATAAAAAATTAAGGAGTTTTCCTATCCAAATCAATTAAGTAATCTGCAAAGCTGTGAAAAATGCACACCTTGAGGTCCAGTTGAGTTTCTCTCTTAGTTCTCTGAGTCTTGAGGTCAGAGATCAGCTCCTGCTGAGTTCTCAGCTCATCCTGAGCACGGCAAAGTTCAGCTTGAGTCTCTACAGCCTGTAGAGAGAAACCAGGTTTTCTTACAACAATTTTTAAACGTGTGGGTTTTAGTTCCATGTTAAGATTTGTATTCAAGTTCCTTGCATTAACCCACAATAATCACAATGCTATTCAGTTAAGCTAAATGTCAAACTCTCACCACCGATATATTCTCCTCCAGGTCGGCCTGCAGCTGGCTCTTCTCCGCCCGGACTGACTCCAGGGTTTCCTGCAGCTGCTCTCTCTCCTGAGTGAGGGAGGTGATGTGGGTCCTCAGCTCCTCCAGTTCAGCCCCGGTTCTCCGAGTTGAGTTTCTGCTCTCGGACAGGAGAGTGTCATGCTGACTGCTCATCAACTTCAGTTCCTCATTCAATTTATGTATCTGTTGAGAACAAGGTAAGGACTAATTTTAGGGAAATCTTAGAAACAGCTTTGTTTTTTGTAACTTTTAAAGCCACTCTCATTCATTGAATAGATTTGAGGAATTTCAGAAAATTCGCACACATTGGACGAAGAGCAATCTAACTGAAAGTCGGTTTCGCTTTGAGACAATGTTTCAGTTCAGTGACAAAGACTGGCCCATGTCGTAGCAGTGGTGTGAAGGAGGAGTGAATTTATCACTTCAAGTGACCTAATCTATAATAATATTCTGGACAAAACTTCTCGACCTCTTTAGTAAACGTCGAGACAAGGAGTTCCCCATTCAGTTCCCGAAGGCAGAGCCCTTTATGTACCTTTTAATTGGCAATTGATTAAAGCAGATTTCACTTTTCAGACTAAAAAATTTGAAAAGGGCATAAAGATCAAATCTGGGATGAAACCCAGAAGACTCTCTGGCCCTCAAAGGCTGGAGACCTCCACCCTCAATTAAAAGTACTTAATGTTCCACGGAAAGCAAAACAAGTCTTAAAAGCCCTCACCATCTCAACATCTTCCTCTTCATAATGGAAAAGTTGTTCAAAGCTCCTACCTTCTCCTCCAGCTCGGCCTGCAGCTGGCTCTTCTCAGCCCGGACTGACTCCAGGGTTTCCTGCAGCTGCTCTCTCTCCTGAGTGAGGGAGGTGATGTGGGTCCTCAGCTCCTCCAGTTCTGCCTCAGTTCTCCGAGTCGAATCCCTCCTCTCAGACAGGAGTGTCTCGCTCTCACTGCTCACCAACTTCAGCTGCTCACTCAACTCATTCACCTGATTGAAAGTTTATCAGGCATTAACTTCAAAATATGTTCAAAACAGCTTACAGCCATTTTGTCTTTCAGCACCTGTGCCTCCAAAGTGCCTTAGCGGTAGAAGACATCAAAACTAACCTGCTGCTCCAGTTGAGTTTCTCTCTCCTCCCTCTGGGTCTTCAGGTCAGAGATGAGCTGCTGCTGCTGCCTGAGCTCTTCCTGGGTCTCCACCATCTGTGAAGGCGAAACGAATTTTACTTTCCTCAGGTGTCATAGATTTAAGGACGGCAGCGCAGAAACATTCTTTTTCTACAACCACCAAAGTAGATAGAAATTATAACACTGTAAGGCACTTAAATTATAAGCTAATAACTTATTTTAAGTTGGTTAAATCTTGATTTTCAGCTCCTCATAATAGCACAATTACCCACAACTCGTACCTTCTCCTCCAGCTCGGCCTTCAGCTGACTCTTCTCCGCCCGGACTGACTCCAGGATTTCCTGCAGTTGCTCTCTCTCCTGTGTGAGGGAGTCGATGTGGGACCTCATCTCCTCCAGTTCTGCCTCTGGTCTGTGAGCAGAGTCTCTCCTCTCGGACGGGAGAGAGTCTCTCTCACTGCTCACCAGCTTCAGCTTCTCACTCAACTCTGTTATCTGTAAAAAAGGAGGGTCAGACAGATTCGGGGGGAAAAGCTTTACAATTTTCCTTCTCCCATCTTACAATCCCCCCATGTCAAGGAAGTCTAAACGAACCTGCTGTTGCAGCCTTGCTTCCTTCTCCGCAGTCTGGATCTTAAGGTCCGTCATCAGCTGCTGCTGCTGTCTGAGTTCTTCTTGAGTTTCAACAGACTGTGAAAGACAGTAAGTGATTCTACCAAGCGAAATTTTAAAAGTGACAGTAAACCTTTTGATGCATATTTTCCTAATATATGACTTCCAGTGACAAAGGATTTCAAAACACACTCGAAATCGAAAGCTTGTGAAAGCAGAAAGTTCCACAGCAGCGAAGGTAAAGGGGCATCCATATTTTGTTTGCAAATATTGCATGCTTGAAGTGGTTCTTCATATACTGTTTAGATTAATAAAGGGCATGTTTCTATACAGTAATCAAAAACAAACCACCATGCTGTAGTCAACCTCAACTGCACTTAGAGAACCTACCTGCATTTGGCCAAAGCTCTTTAACACAATTGTTCACCCTGATGGTTTTCAGTTCACCACATAACCGCAAAAAGCACAAGCTCTCACCATCTCAACATTCTCCTCCAAGTCGGCCTTGAGCTGCTGCTTCTCGGCCCGGACTGACTCCAGGATTTCCTGCAGCTGGTCTCTCTCCTCGGCGAGTGAAGCAATGTGCCTCCTCAGCTCCTCCAGTTCAACAGCGGACATCTGAGCAGAGTCTGTTCTCTCCGATAGGAAGGCATCACGCTCGCTGGTCACCAGCTTCAGCCGCTCATTCAACTCCTTCAGCTGTCAGAAGGGTCAGGCATTGATTGTGTAAGTAACTCTGTAGTTTATGTCCTCTTGCTTATTCTAAAAAAAAATATGTAATGGTCAGAGTATGCCAAACTCACCTGCTGTTCCAGCTGTGTTAACTGCTCTGCACTCTGGGACCTGAAGTCAGCCATCAGTTGCTGCTGCTTTTGCAGCTCTGCTTGGCTCTCAACAGCCTAAGAAAAGAAAACAAGGTATTATCCGATTAGTCAACATTAACAAGAAAATTCCTCATTCACATGGACTCCCGAGTGGCTAAAGTAAAAGTATGTAATAGGATCACAAGTTGAGCCTTATGGCCAGACACTGCTAGGTCACATCACCAGCTGTGACTTGGGTTTCAAAAGGGACTGTGCAGGATAGGGCAGGACTACAAGGCTCTTCATGTATCTGATCTCTACAACTTGCAGTTGCAGGGGATGTAGTGTTCCTCCAACCAGTGGTCACTCTTAGGCATTGCGATGCTTGCAATGTGTTAACTTTGAATTGCTCTGCATATAGGCATATAGTAACTGCATGTATTATTCACTTCCAAACAGTTACGGAAGGAAGTCTTAAAAAATGCAATTCCAAATTGGGTGAGCACAAAATTGTTAATTTCAAATGATAAAAACAGATTACATATGTTAAAAATTAGGTTTGAGGTTGAAAATGTCTGTCCTCATATGCAACAGGATAAGAAAATAAGTTGAACACTAGAATGCAAAATGAATGGAAATTCTTGAATCTTCAATTAACATAATATATCCTAAAATGAAAGATTTAAAGGTTTCCTTACTTTGCAATATTTTAGAACATGCAATAAACTGGGGTCCCAAGAGAAGCCAAAAAACGTGTTAATCCTCACCATCTCAACATTCTCCTCCAGCTCGGCCTGCAGCCGACTCTTCTCAGCCCGAACTGACTCCAGGGTTTCCTGCAGCTGCTCTCTCTCCTGAGTGAGGGAGGTGATGTGGGACCTCATCTCCTCCAGCTCAGCCTCTGGTCTGTGAGCAGAGTCTCTCCTCTCAGACAGGAGAGAGTCTCTCTCACTGCTCACTAGTCTGAGTTGCTCATTCAAGTCTCTCAACTGTAGAGAAGGTTAGGAAAATGGCATTTTAAGGCATTAATCAAGAGTTGTGTTCCATTACTCGATTCCTCTCAGTCAACACCGGCATCAGCTTTTCACTCAGTTCCTTTATCTGTAGGAGTGGGCAAGTTAGTATTTCCTACAAAAAAAATATTTTTCTTCATTGACTTTTATTTCTTAAAATTCCAACACTAAAAACGAACCTGCTGTTCCAGCTGTGCTTCCCTCTCTGCACTCTCAGTTTGAAGGTCAGTCATCAGCTGCTGCTGCTGCTGCTGTCTCAGCTCCTCTTGGTTCTTAACAGCCTGTAAAGCCAATCTGATTGTTAGTTAATGTATTTCTTACTGTTAACCCTATACTTTTAGAAGTAATTTCCTGTAGGATCTATTTTCACATACCTAATAGGATTCAAAAGTGGAGCTTGCATGCCATACGTGGCTATATTCCCTCATAGGAAAAGGAGTTTCATCAAACACTATTGAAGGACTACAAAATACTCTCACCCAGTTAACAATGAAATAACCTCACTGATTCTCATATGTTGGACTGATAAAATGCAGTTTAAGAGAAAAAAAGAACCAACGTTCATAAAAGGTA